CACTGTCCTTAACTTAAAACCAAATTTAAGAATGCATTATTAAAGAGGCATAAAATATGCAAACATGCAAGTCTGATGACATTTGCATTGTGATAGGAAATGTAACTTCTTGATGCCACAATTTTAGGCAATATAATGCTTGAAATACTACATGTGGAGGATCCTTGCCATAAGAAAGAAAAGTAAATAATTTAACTATTTGACAAAAGGATCACAAAACTAAGATTCAGTATCTAATCTGGCTTCTTACCTTCATCAAGCCCATTCAGAAAAGAAGTAAACAAACAACGAGCATTTCTTTCTGTACCAAGTATATATAATGGAAAGTTTATCACCTAACTTGATAATTTACAGAGATTTCTAAAACTAAATTTGACTTATTTTCTTGCTCATTAAACTTTCTTGATCAGTCCCCATTATCAGTGGTTTAAAACTTAAAAAGGAACACTTATATTTAATATCCATTTTTTAAACGTCTGGAAAATGCTACACTCATAAATTAAATTATATATATTGCATAATTTATATCACTTTGAACACTAAAAAGTTGGATTAGAATATATGTATGAAAATAGGTTTAATTTTAATTTTAAAATCCTTTAAATTTTTCCTTTGATTTATAAATTTTACTAGCTTCAAACATGTTATCTTAGTTTAATAATATTAATGAAGCAATAATTTACAATAAGAGAAATGAATTCATTTTCAGTAAAAATCAAATTACTACTGTACCAGTCAGAAACATAGACATATCTTAGCTTTCCAAAATAGAAATGTAACAAAAGCAAAAAAAAAAAAAAAAAAAAAGGAATTTAAATGTGGACAACAAAAAGTTTGTTCATTTATTTGCAGAGGGTCATTCCCCTCATTCCCTGAATATTTTGTCTTTTGATTTACTGTTTCTCTCTCCAGCCCTACTTACTATTATAATTATAATTTCAATTTCCTTGCAGGTGTTCTTTAATTAAGCTCCTCTCCTCCAATGAACTTATTCTCCATCTTGACTTCCTCACTAAATCCAATGGAATTTCTACGGATCTTCTCATTTTTACCTGCAACTCTATAATCTCAATTTTGAATCCCACTCTGTACACCATCTCTTTGTATCTCACTACCTATACTAACCCTGGTCTTATGCCTGTTGAACCTTGCAGGGATTTTAGTCCAACTTCTCCCACCTACTCATGTGGTACACACTCACTCAGAACCTTATTGCCCTACTTATCTAACTTGAAAGTCCAGGCCACATCATTATAATCATTCTCCTGCAGGTATACTCAAGTCCTTTGCCTTCTTTCACAATTGCCTAGAAATAACTAGGACTGGTTCAGTCCAACTTTCTGCTTTCTTTGAGATGTTAACACAGATGAGTGTGATTGGAGAGAAACATGTAGTCATATTGACTATTGTCCCTCTAAATTTAAAGGGCTTCACATGAGCCCTTTTAATGCTTTTTATGAATCATACTGCATTTCCTTTGTTCATTCACTATCCCACTCCTCTTATAAATCGCAAGTCTTTTGCCTATAAGCCAAAGTCAAAAGGCTGTGGAAACCAAGAGATTTTTATATCTCATCTGATGGTGAGACTTGGCCTGACCTAATCAATTCATTTGGCATTAGAACTTTACCTCAAGTTGATGTACAGCTATTTATACTCTCTTTATTCTCATTAGTATGAATATTCATATAGTTCCCTATGGACATATTATCGTTTTGATTTCAGAGTATTACTTAAGACTTTACTGGGGTTTTTCCTAATACTTAAAGTATATGTCACAGTATTACCTGCCTATAATCCAAAAAAGTTCATATTTTATAACATATCTGACTTCCATGGTCTTGGATAACAATTATGGCCTTTTTATTTTTTGCACAATACATTCTATCTCTATGAAGGAAATAATGATCCTATATAAAGGCTGTATCCCCTCTTATATGTAGTGTAAGGGTAAATACAAATTAAAAATAAGAGGCTTAATTCTCCCTCTTAAAAGTAAGGGAAGAACTCCACCCCCTACTTTTTTTTAGAACTCTTACTTTAGAATACTTGTAAGTTTTTTCTCTGTCTCTTTAAAATGTATGTAAATCTTTTTAAAAGCTATATAAATTACTTGCCAGCTGTATGACCCAATAATGCCTTTCTCAAGGACCTGGAGCCATGTCTTTGAAATGTAATAATCTAAATAGCATCCCTATCTCCCAGTTTCTGTTGGAGGGTAGAAGCCTTATATCAGTGTACCTCTTTTCACAAAAATATGAAAATTATTTTTCCTTTGGAGAAAGCCAATTAGGAAATACAGATGGCCACCCCAATTATCAGGCAAATCTAGGAAGAATGATGTGTGACAAATGGTGCTGTCATGTCCTCTTATTTAAGGACTAGTTAGTTATTGTTTATTGTGAGAACACATATGTCATAGGGTTGTATCTGCTTGGTAATATAAAAGAGTAAGATTTCTTTCTGGTTTAGAGTAGCCACTCTATAATAAAGCTGTTGTCTTTCTCTTCTACTTTTGTGGAAAGGTTTTCTTAGTTGGCTGAAGATTTTGTTTTTTTTTAATTTTTTTTAATTTTAAAAAAAAAAATTTTTTTTCAACGTTTATTTATTTTTGGGACAGAGAGAGACAGAGCATGAACGGGGGAGGGGCAGAGAGAGAGGGAGACACAGAATCGGAAACAGGCTCCAGGCTCCGAGCCATCAGCCCAGAGCCTGATGCGGGGCTCGAACTCACGGACCGCGAGATCGTGACCTGGCTGAAGTCGGACGCTCAACCGACTGCGCCACCCAGGCGCCCCAGAAGACTTTGTTTTTAATGATATTCCCCATTAGCACCTCCAACTAACTTGCTTATTCAAAGACATTGCCCCAGAAATGCTTCCCTTTCTTTGTATGCCTTTTGAAACATTTTTCCTTAATTGATCTTTCTCATTAGCTGTGATTTCTTCCATCCTGACCTAATACCTCCTTCAAAAATAATCCTTTCTTTGTACTATCTTTTGAATAAGTTATCTTCTTTCAAAATCAGACAAGCTCCTCCTGGTATGTCATTTCTGATAGACACTCGAATTAGGCTTTTGACTTGATTACCAACCAAAATTGTTTTTGTTAGAGTCAGTAATAACCTCCAATGACAAAATTTTGGTCTTCACATTTCTTCACTACTAGCACTATCACTTTGACAGAATCGATCTCTCCCTCTAGCTTGAAACCCTGTCTTCTTACTTCTAGGACATCACCCTACTTATTTCTACTACTAGCTCACGATCTGGTGCTTTTCATTCTCCTTTATAAATTCCTCCTTATCGCCCAAACTCTAAACCATGGAGTGCCCCTGGGATCAGCCTTGACCTTCTTACCATCTTGGTCTCCTTCAGGTTTGTTGGTGGTTGCATTCAAACTCATAGCTTTGTACATAACCTCATACTGATAGATCCCAAATATATTTCTCCTGCTTAGATCGCTCTCATAAAATCCAGACACATTTCCATATGCTTATCTGACATCTCTTAAATGAAAGAGTCTTGTGAAAGATCTACCTAAATCTAAATATCGAAAACCTAAATTGTATACCTAGTATTTATTTCTAAAATCTATGAATCTAAATTTCTAAAATCTAAAATTTAACTACTTTCACCAGCTCTGTTTAGTTGTCATCCTGTACTGAGTTGTCATCGTCTCTGAAATGGATTGTAGTTTCCTCTATTGTCCTTCTACAACCTATTCACAGCACATACCAATCCTTCACTTTAACCTATATGGTATCTCCCCATTTCCCTCACAGTAAAACAAATAATTCCTACAAAGACCTACAAGACCTTATATTATTTTGTATTCTACTAACATTCTGAAATTATCAATGATATTCCCTCCACACTGACCCTTCTTCCTGATCTTTTAACATATCAGACATCTCACACCACTGACTTCCGTGTTTTTTGTTTTTTTTTTTTTTCTCAGATCTAGAATACACTTCCTTTGGATTAATGCTTGTCTCATTCTTTAACTTCTGCCAGGGCTTTATACAAATGGCACTTATTAGGAAAGACTTCCCAGAATGCTCCATACAAAATTAGATATGTTTCATCTGGTGTGTCATTTCTGGTCCATCCGTCCTTCCTTCCTTCCTTCCCCTCTTTCTTCTTTCTTTCTTTCTTTCTTTCTTTCTTTCTTTCTTTCTTTCTTTCTTTCTTTCTTCTCTCTCTCTCATTCTGTGTATATCTATATGTCCATATATAGAGAGGCATCTATATTTATAGAAATGTCCATGTATATGGAAAGTGTGAATATATATGTATATATAAAGTATACATACATAAAATAGTTTCAGAATCATTGATACCATAGTTACATGAAGCCAACTAACTGAAATTCAATATTTTAATAGTGGTTTTAGTTTAAATGTACAGTGAAATGTACAAATCTTATTTGTACAATTTGATGAGTTTTGACAAATGCATACACCTGTGTAACCAGACCCTATTTAGATATAGAACATAATCATGATCTCAGAAAATTCCTTTATTCTCTTCCCAGTCAACACTTTTACGCCTAAGGCAACCACTTTGTTATTTTTTTTACCATATTAGTTACCATATATTATATATAAAAAATTACATATTTCCTGTGGGTTTATATTTTCATTTCTTTTGGATAAATACCTAGGCATATTTATGTTATGTCATATAGGTACTTATGTCATAGAACAACTGTATGTTTCTCTTAATACATTGCCAAAGCACTTTCCATTGCACTGTATCATTTTACAAACCCACCATGTAAGAGTTACAATTACTCTTCCTACTTGGCAGCATTTGGTGTCCCATACTTTTAAATTTCAGCCAAACTTCTACTTCTATTGCGGAATTTTATCATGGTTTTAACCTGAATTTCTTTAATAACAAATGCTCATTTTCTTAGCTGGTTTTCTCCCTTTCTCTCTCTCTTTTTTTTATATCTCCCTTTGTGAAGTGTCTGTTCAAGAGTTTTGCTCATCTTTTTCCAGTATGGAATGCTTCACAAATTTGCATATCATCCTTACACAGGGGCCATGCTAATCTTCTCTATATTGTTCCAATTTTATTATATGTATTGCCAAAGTAGGCACTTGACCTTTTTAATTTATTGGCTTACTTGTCATTTTATTGTCACATGGGATTTTCATGTATTTGATTTTTTTTGTAAAACATAAATTTTATAAATAATTTATTTTAGTTGTGGTTTATGTACTAATTTTTAAAAAATATTTTTTAACATTTATTCACTTTCTGAGAGACAGAGACAGAGTGTGAGCAGGGCAGGGGCAGAGAGGGGGAGACACAGAATCCAAAGCAGACTCCAGGCTTTAAGCTGTCAGCACAGAGCCCGACATGGGACTTGAACTTGAACTCAGACTGTGAGATCATGACCTGAGACGAAGTCAGACGCTTAAGCAACTGGGCCACCCAGGCACCCCATCTACTAAATTTTTAAGTGTTATGTGGTAAGTAGCATTTTTTAAATTTAATGATGTCTGATTTGATATTTGCCCCCTTAAATTTGTTTAGGATGCTTTTGCCTCTTGTCTAAGAAATATTTGCCTGTCTCCAAGTCATGAAGATATTGTCCCTGTGTTTTATGAGATTTATAATTTTTGCTTTGTATGTTTAGTTGTATGATCTATCACAAATTAGGTTTAGTACATGGTGTGAGGTAGGGATTAATATTCTTTGTTACACAAATGGATATATAATATTCTAAATATTTGTTGAAAAGCCTAATACGTCTTTTTTATTGAATAGCTTTGGCAACCTTGTCTAAAATAATTGACCAAATATGTGTGGGTACATTTCTGGACTATCTAATCTGTTCCTTTGATATCTTTTTCTATCATCATGTCAATATGGCTATAGTATTACTATTATTATAGTTTTATAACAGTTTTGAAGTGAGATTTTTTTTAAGATTGGGTTTATTTTAGGTCTTTGTACTTCCACATAAATTTTAGATTCAGCATGTCAATTTTTATAAGAAATTCTGATGGAACTATGACTGTGATTACTTTGTCTATAGATTAATTTTGGGAGAATTGACATTTTCATAATATTGACCCTTCAAATCTATAAGCATGGTATATATCTCTCCAATTATTTAAATCCTTTTTGTCCTCAGAAATATTTGATAGTTTAGCATATACAGGTCTTTCACTTATTTTGTTCAATATATTCCTAAGTGTTTTAGTAACTTAATTATATTAAAATTAATTTTAAAGTATTTTTATTTTGAAATAATTATAAACTCATAGGAAATGTCAGAAATAATGCAGCATGTCCAGCTTCCTCTAATGGTGACATTTTTGTAACTGCAGGACAAAATTGAAACCAAGAAAAATAATGTTGGTAGAACATTGGTAACTAGACTACAGACCTTATTCAGTTTTGACTGTTTTTAACCTGCATTTGTGTGTGTGACTGTGTATAGTTGTAAGCAATTTTATTCCATGTAACAATTTGTTCAACCACCACAAATTCAACTATTCAAAACTGTTCTATGACCCCAGAAGAGCTGTTTTATTCTATTCCTGTCGCATGGCAAGAAATAATCTGTTTTCCATCTTTATAGTTTTGTCCTTTGAAAATGTTATATAAATAAAGTCATACTTAGTGCCTTGTCTTTGAATTACTTCCAAAGAATCTTGGAAGTTGGTAAAAGTAGGTAGGAATACAGATGAAATTTTAACCATGAGCTGGTAACTGCCAAAGTTTGGTGAGGATACATAAGGACTCATTATACACTATTTTCTAATTTGAAATACTTTTAATATTCCCTTAATAATAAATAAAATTAAGAGCTATTAAGGAAGAGACAAAATATTTAAGTAGAGGATACTCACAACAGAAAAAAGTTGAGAAAACTGTCCAAAGTTGGAAAATACATTAGAGAGAAAAATAATTTGGAGTGTCAAAAGTGAGATAGAAAATAACCAGAGAAACTAAGCAAGCATGACTGATATAAAAGTAATGGGCATTATGATTAACTTCATGTAGTTTTTTTTTTAAGTTTTTATTTTTTATTTTTTAAATTTATTTTTAGAGAGAGAGAGACCAAGAGGAGGGGCAGAGAGAGAGGGAACCCCAAACAGGCTCTGCAGTGTCAGCACAGAGCCCGACACAGGGCCCAAACCCACAAACTCCAAGAACATGACCTGAGCTGAAATCAAGAGTCAGACACCCAAAAACAGAGCCACCCAGCTGCCCCTCATGAAGTTGTTTGAAAAATGTTTAAAAATTGAGCCTGCGTGGCTCAATCGGTTGAGCATCTGACTCTTGATTTTGGCTCAGGTCATGATCCCAGGATTGTGGGATTGAGCTTCATGTGGGGCTCTGCACCAAGTATGGAGCCGGCTTGAGATTCTCTCTTTCTCCCTCATATGAGATAATGAGATTCTCTGCCTCTCTCCCCCACTCATTCTCTCTCTCTCTAAAAAGAAATTTAAAAATGAGATAAAAATCAATGATATAGCATAATGTCTTCAAGGTTACTGCAAATGTCAGGATTTTCTTCTATCTCATGCTTGAAAAATATTCCACTGTGTGTGTGTGTGTGTGTGTGTGTGTGTGTGTAAATATCCATCATCAGAAAAATAGAGAAGATATGGTATACACTAACATCCAGTCATAAATGATAACCCAAGGGATGCAAAAAATGCTTTCCATTCATAAATAATAACACAAACAATATAAAAATGGTTTCCAGTCACAAATGCAACACAGATGATAGAAAAATATGGTTTCAAGTCATAACTGATAATGCAAGAGATAGAGACTGTTTCCTGTGATAAATGAGAACTCAGGTGAGAGAAAACAAAAGGTTTTCAGCCACGAATTGTAACTCAGCTAATAGAAAGAGAAGGTTTCCATTCATAAAAAAAAGTCAGATGATAGACAAAAAAGATTTCCATCATAAACGGTAACTCAGGCTATTGAGAAAGATAATTTCCAGTCACAAATAATAACCCTGCTGATTAAGAATGACCAGTTTCTAGTCATGAATGATAACACACAAGATAGGAAAGAATGTTTACCAGTCATGGATTATAACTCAGGTGGAACAGAAAGAAGATGCTCAATCATAAACAATAATGAGATAATAGAGACAGAAAAACTCGCAGTCATACATGATAACTCAGATGGTGGAGAATAGAAGATTTCCAATCACAAATGATAAATCAGGAGATAGAGAAATAAAGGTCTCCAATGATAAATGATAAGTAAGGTGACAAATAATGTTTCCAGTCATACATGGTAATACAGATGATAGAGAAAGGTTTTCAGTCATTACTGATAACTCACACGATGGATAAAGAAGGTTTTCAGTTATAAGTGATAAATCAGGTGCCAGAGAAAGAATGGTTTTCAGACATTAATGATAACTCAGGATATAGAAAAAGGTTTCCAGTCATAAACAAACCAGGTGATAGCGAAAGATTCTAATAATAAATGATGACATGTTATAGAGAAAAGAGTTTTCCTTATTTTTAGTGTTTGTTTTTATTTATTTATTTTGAGGGGAGGGGGAGAAGGGCAGCAAGACAGGGTGAGAGAGAATCTGAAGCAGGCTCCGCACTCAGTGCGGAGCTCAACATGGGGCTCATTCCCACAACCCTGGCATCATGAGCTGAGCCAAAATCAAGAGTTGGACACTCAAACAACAGAGCCACCCAAGCGCCCAGAGGACTTTTCCAGTTATTTTTGATAACTCATGTGATAGAGAAAGATGATTGCTAGTCAAAAATAATAACTCACATGATGGGGGAAAAAGGGTTTCCAATCATAAGTGGCGAATCATCTGCTACAGAAGATTTCCATCATAAATAATAACTCACATGGTAAAAAGAAAACCGGTTTACATTTGTAAATAAGTCAGGTTTGAGAGAAAGGTTTCACGTCATGTAACCTCTCTAGTGCTCAGATGCTAGGGAAAGAAGATTTCTAGTCATAAACAGTAAGTCAGGTAATAGGGAAAGAATGTTTACAGTCTTATATCATAACTCAGGTGATAAAAAAGAAAATTTCTAGTGATGTATGGTAACTGTAGTGATAGAGAAGAAGGTTTCCAGTATTAATGATAACACAGATGATTAACAAATGAAATAAAATAATTATAAATTGCAACATATATGGAAAGCAAGTAATATATATTAAATAAACTGAATTAGTGATCCTGAAGAAATAAATGCAAAAGAAGTTGGTTTATCTCATGCATGTCATAGATTCTAAGCTCTTCCATGGGAAGATCATTTAAAAGTAGAATTACAGTTAAATGTACTCTTAATACAATACTTATTGTAGATCCTGGACCAATTAAAACAAATAATAGTAGATTATGATGTAATGTAGGAAATATATAGGGAAAGATTAGCCAATAGTGAGACTTCTTGAAAATGGACCAAGATGATTTAAAAATACTACTCTCTTTAAGGATAGCTTAAAGCCACCTGGCAGGAATTTTCAGATTAACATCGCAGCTACTTTTTGGATTTGTGAGCCATTATAACCAAGCAATAAGGAAAAATTTTCCTTAGGATCATACTTCAGAACAGCTCATTCCAAAAGAACTTTCTGCAATAGATATTTTCTGTATCTGGGCTGCCTAATTCTTAGCCAATAAGCATATGTGATTATTGAGCACTTGAAATGCTGGCTGGTGTGACTAAGGAACTGAATTCGTAATTTAGTTTAATTTTAACTAATTTGAATTTAAATAGCTAGATGTAGCTAACAACTAAAGTTTTGGACAACACAGGTCTGGAGGAATCCATAGTTACCTCCCTTCAATCAACCCATTTCAATCATCCAGATTTTGGAATTTGTCATGGATCTAATTTTCTGCTCCAAAATTCCTTAGGAATTTACATTGTTAACTCATAGAAATTATTGTATAAGGCTCATGCACACACACACACACACACACACACACACACACACACATATGTATATGTGTATATATATATATGTATATGTGTGTGTGTGTATACACACACATATATACACACATAAAAACAATTAAGTAAAAAATATATATATAATCTAATATATATTAGATTGACTTTTAACAATGACTGT